TGGGGAATTCTGGGAGTTGAAGTCCACCCATCTGAAAGCTGTCAAGGTTGAGAAACACTGCACTAGACCAAGCTTAGTCTGCTGGATTCTAGCCTGCAGCCTTATCTACTAGACCCCACTGACCAACGTTTCTGCTGCATTTCCTTTAGAAGATGCCTCCCTTGATGGATTAGTAAAGAAAGGGCTATTTCCAAGCCCCGTCAATCTTTCCTCGGCCCTGTAGCCCTGCCCCAGGGACTTCCTGCAGGGGAGGAGTGGGGAGATTAGCAGCCGCCCCATCCCCGTACCATCCTGCAATGTCCGCAGCTCCTCTTGGGTGCCAGCCGGCTTCAGCACTTGCGAGCGCTGCTCCTCCGTCCCCTCGCACAGGACTCGGGCCGTCTCGGCTTCCACCCCTTGAGCCTGGAGCATGGCCTGGAAGGTGCGCAGGGCGGCCCCGTTGTCCAGGACGTGGCCGATCTGGGTGGCCCCGTCGCGCACGGAGCTGGCTCGCCCGGTCTGCCACAGCAAGATTCCTCCTGTAGGGAGAGAGGGAGGTCACCCGGGGGGGCATCGCCAACTGAGCCCAAATGGAGCATTGAAGAACGGGGCGTTTGGTGCTGTCCGCTGAGAGATCTGATGCAAGGGCTGGGGGAGCGTAAATGGCAGATTCCAAGGGTTAAGAGGGGCCCGTGAGGTCATTCAGTCCAACCTCTTTTTCCAGGCAGGAATGCCAATTCAAGCATTCCCCCCCGCCCCAAGATGACTGTTGAGGATGCGCTTGGACACACTGCCCACCACTTTGACTGTACAAGACAGAAGTTTTTCCTATCATTCAGCTTTTGTATTTTTTCACCATCTCGAAAAAGTAAATAAAAGGCTTGATTTCTTGGCGTTGGTGTGTATATGATGAAGCCAATCTTAAGCATATTTATCAATCTGTCTGTCTATCCTTCTTCCTGATGTTGCCCTGTGTTATTTCTGCTGCAAAAGGCTGGCTCCCAGGGGCATCCACAGACGTGGGGATTAGGGACATCATATGCACCCTGACTTCACTGCACAAATGTCCTTGTGGTGCACTTGACCTCATGGTGGCTTGGATCAGACATCACAGAGTTTGAAGAGGGGTGGATTCAGATCAGGGACCCTAAAGAGGAGGAGGAGGAGGAGGAGGAGGAGGAGGAGGCATAAATAGAAAAAAGGGGGAGTTGGAGCCTCCTTTCCCACACATCAGGCAGGCACCAGCTATGGGGAAGGCTGGGGTATAATGTTCCAAGCAATTCATTCTCTGGATGGAATCTGCTTTATACTGATGATGCCGATTGGTTCAATTGGCCGCAAGACCCCATTCTTGACTCCTACACGCAAGGTGTAGAGAGTAAGAAAGATGACCTTGATAGAGATAGGCTGGATCTGTTACCAAGGTGACAAGGTGAACAACATGGTTTAAGTCTGAAACGGTCGGAGGTATGCGGAAGTGGCTCAGATAGACACCTCCCTAATTCACGTGGGCATAAGAAGGGGAGGAGGTCCAGCACAACCAGACTTGCAAGAGGCTAGTCATGTAGCCAATCTCAAAAGTAGACGTAGCTTCCTTGTGAAGTGGATTCTTGGTCTGGTCTACCTGGTGGGGCGGACGCAAGGGCATTCCGAACCCAAGTCCCACACATGCATGAAGAGCACCACCGAGGTGCCCTCACTGAGGCCCACCTAGCGTGATCACCAGCTCACGGAGGTCCTTGGGGCCGCCTCCTTCCAGGCACTGCAAGGCTTCAAGGACTTCCAAGGAATTGCCCACGCGACGCCCCAAGGGCTCATCCATCCTGCTCAGAACCGCCGCTGTTTTCATCCCCAGCTGGTTTCCGACGGACACCTAGGGAAGATGGGGGGAGAGAAAGAGAGAGCACGACAGGTGAGGTTTCTCCGCCCTCAGTCGGTGGAAGTCCCAGATCTCTATGGAAGCTTCTGCAACATGCAAAGGTGTTCGGTTGCG